ACATAGATCCTTTCCATGTAGTCCTTATTCAAGCAAAATTCCTACAGTACAAGGACTGGTCCATGCAGTGTCAGCATTACCAGGCTTGCCTTCAGCTGTGTGCAACGCAGCAGAAAACCCTGTTCCTTCTGATGGGAAATGACTTATTTGAGGATTTCATTGCTTCCAAGTGGTGAAGCATTCATAAAGGAAAACAACTACACCTCCGATGCTTCAGTCAGCTGCAGAATGTTGCCCTTTTCACAAGAACCACAAGATCAAGTGAGTCTGCATTTTCTAAGTGGTCTTGAAAATGTAACCACATATAAAACAGGATGTATACAAAAGTTTCAAAATTGTCTCAGAACACACTCACCTGAATTTTCCCCTGCACTCCAGTGCTATCCATCCGGCTGGCAACATTTACAGTGTTCCCCCAGATATCATACTGTGGTCTTCTGGCTCCAATGACTCCAGCCACTACTGGCCCAACATTAATACCTAAGGGGTAAGGGAAGTGTGTCACCATTAGTTGTCAGTACTAGACAACTCAGATCAGGGAGACACCAGAAGAGGGCAAGAGTACATGAAAATGGTTCAAGCATTTTTTTGGGGGAAACAACAGGGCTCAATCCTACATTTCTGACTGATTTTGACACCTTGTTTGGAAGATAAAAAGAGGATGTTCCTTCTTCTAAGTGCTCTGAAGAGCTGCAGATGTATGCAACTCTGTGCAACTTTCCCAGGCAAGTTATGCAGAAAAATGAGGATTAGATATTCATCTTCTGCCCCTTTGTGAACCTAGAAAGACCAGTTGTAACTGAGTTCAAAGAGAATTTGGAGTTTATAATTATTAGGATGTACAGAAGGGCAAAGATATATGTCTCCTAAACTTCTACTGCTAGCAATGTCACTTTTCCCCTTGTCTGGTCCATTCGTCCAATTCAGCCATGAAAATTTATAATGAAGCTGGAGAAAACTATTTGTGCTAGCAATGAAATTGTGTATACAATGAAACGAGAACAGCAATGGAAGTACCGTTGGAGTGGAGTGGAATGCAGGGAAGGAGGGGAAGGGCTAAACTTGCTCACTAAGAAGGCTATGAGAAAGAACTCTGAGAGGTAAGACATGTCGTAACATGTAAAGGATTGCATGGGAAAGTTTGTGATGTGAAGACCAAAGGATTTGATTTGTTGGAGAAAAACAGGACTGGTTGAGGGGATTTGGCATCTGTGGACAAAAAGATCCCATCACATTTTTAATGTCAACAAAGCTTTTTCAGATGCAACTTAAGTACAGTCAGACCTAATTTTCAGCAGTTTAGCAATGCAAAGCAGCATAAGCCACAAGACTGGGTGTGGTAATAATATTATATAAAATTATTGCTGCAGTTTCCTTTTACGAGTGTGTAGATTAAGTAAGCACGGTAGGATTGGACACAATTATAACTCCTTAATACTGATGCTCACCATCAAGCCTGCTGATCTTTTACATGTGGCTCTCCTGCTAAAGGATGCTTTTCAGTTTTAATCACGAGTGCAGGACAGACATTCCTTTGTAGATAGCACAGGGAAAGCTGTCAAGCAACGTTCTGCTTGTGTGATAATTGTAGAAACGTGACTTACCAACTCGTAGGACAAAGTCATTGTAAGACTGATAGTTGATTTCATCAAGAACGTCAAACATCTCTATTGCAAAATCTGCCAGTGTACTCAGATGGGAATAAATTGATTTTTTAGCCTAGAAACAAAATAGTATTGCACATTAGCTTTGCATGGTACTGAAAGGCAGGTGAAACATTGAAGCAAAAAACAATTGAAAGCTCAGACTGGAAGGCCTAGGAAAAAAATCTAACCCTTTTTAGTGTTTGTGAAAAGTAACTTTTGATGGTGACTACAGCACATGCATTCTTTTCTCAACTACTGTTCTATTAATTTTTTTCTTCTCTCTTTTTGATTTCTGGGAAGAATGGAAAACAAAGTTCCCATGGTAAAGTGGTTCTGTTGCTAGAGAGCTGCAGATGTTTGTTGTGAGCATGGCAAGGAACATAACCTTTCTTACAAAACCGCTTTGCCTGATGATTATTAATAACTGTAGTTTCTGCCCTCTTCTCCCTTTAGGGTTTTTACTAGCTCCATGGGGTGCATGCTGTTCTCATTGACAAAATTCCTGTCAGGTTTAATCCTGTGAGATGCAGAACACCCCTATTTTCTTTCCTTTCCAGGCAAGCTCAAGTGAGTTGTTATAAAAGGTATCTAACTGACCTAAAGCAAAAGAGCCAGAAGGGATCAAATGAAATTCTGAAGTATCAACTTATTACAAAAACACTAAAATATACAAAAAAACAATTAAAACTTCAGTCTAATTCAACTGTGGAACTATTTTTCAGAGGATATTGCGGGTTCCAAAGGTTAGCGAGATTCAAACACATTTACTCCAACTCATGGATGAAATACTTGCTACAAAGTAGTTAAAAGATGTTGTCTGTAGGACTAGAATTTCTTAAGCAGCATATCATTAGAAGGTGTAAAACAGAGGTTTGCATGTTTGTCCTGTAACTCATGCCCTTTCCCCAGAATCTACTGTTGGCTCATTAAAGACAGGTTACTAGAATAGACTTTTGACCTGACTCGTTATGATTGCTTTTATGTTGTGCTCTTATTTGAATGATAAATATGAATTCTTGAACAGATTTTGCAAAGTAAAAGTGGGCTAAAGGTAGGATATGGTGAAAGAAATGCAGGGTCACTGGCAGTCTAGCTTCAGTAGAATATTTCACAACAGGGCTGTGGAAGCTGGCATGAGATGAGAGATCGCTGCGTTTTTGTCATGATAGTGAGATTTTACAAATGGAGTACTTGACAGTGGCAGAGAAACCTGGAAAACAGGTTGCTCTTTATTTTATTTGGCTCAGTTTGAAAGGATTCTTTCTTGTGGCTAGGAAATTTATAAAAATTAGAGCGAAGTGAACAAAAAATTATGGAAGTCATACTTGGGCCAGTCCGAATTTTTAGGAAGGGTATTTGTATTTACCTGCCTGGGTCTCTGGTATTCTGCTTCTTGCAATATCTAGTAGGTCTACTCTTTTCCAACCTCATCAAGACAAAGGAAGAACAAGAACTAAGTTTAAAGAGCTCATGGCTACACTTCCAACAGAGAACAAGAAGAATATTGAAGTCTGGAGGAGGGAGGAAGAAGTGTATAGTTTTATTTAATCTTAGTCTTCTTTATATTCCTTATCCTTCCATTTCTTTGCTGCCTGATGAATGCTTTGATTTCCCGCAATGCCTCTCAGGTTTGCAGGAGAAAGGACTGATGACAAATATTGAATGAGCTGCAGGTGACAGATGCCTCTCAAAAAGATTACTGGCAAATTCTTTTGAACTTGCACTGAAGAACACCACAAAGTTAGGACCCTGATGAAATCAGGACCCTGGTGAAATCACAGATGTAATTTCAAAGGACTCCACACGCAGAATAAACTTATATTATGAAAAAGATATACAAGGAGTTTGGTTTCTGTGCTGCCCTGATGGTGTAACTGGCAAGCAATTATTTATTTAAGCATCAGAGGAATAGTTACTGGAAAACCTGCCCAGAGCATCACAGCAAAACCACTCTGACAAAGGCAATGTGCATTTACTTCAGTCACCTGCTGAAGTCAAGCTGCAGAAACAACAGTTCTGTAAAACAGGGGATTTAAATATTTAACTTCTTCAGGGTACTGAGATTTTACATATGTAAATATCTTTATTTAAGACCACAATTAACCCCATCCACCCCATGTCCAAATCCTAGCATGAAATTGGTGGCTCAGAATTAGAGATTGTACCAAATTTTCTGATGACTCATAGAATAATTTTCGTTGGAAAATACCTTTAAGATTGTCAAGTCCAACCATCGACCCAGCCCTGCCAAGTCAGGTGCTAAACCATGTCCCTAAGCATGATGTCTATTCATCTTCTAAACATATCCAGGGATGATAACTCAACTACTTCCTTAGGCAGCCTGTTCCAGTGACCGACAACCCTTTCAGTGAAAAAGTTCCTCCTAATACCCAACTTAAACCTCTCCTGGCACAACTTGAGGCCATTTCCTCTCATCCTATCACTAGTTACTAGGGAGAAAGGACTGTCCCCTACCTTGCTATAACCTCCTTTCAAGTAGTTATAGTGGGTCATAAGGTCTCCCTTCAGCCTACTTTTCTCCAGGCTAAACAGCCCTAGTTCTCTCGGCCACTCCTCATGAGACTTGTTCTCCAGCTGCTTCATCAGTTTCACTGCCCTTCTCTGGACATGCTCCAGCATCTCAACATCTTTCCTGTAGTGAGAGGCTTCAAACTGAACACATTACTAGGTGATCCTGTTCTGGCAAGGGGGCTGGACTAGATGATCTTTTGAGGTCCCTTCCAACCCCTAATATTCTGTGATTCTGTGATTCTGTGATACTTAAGGTGCGGCCTCACCAGTGCTGAGTATAGGGGAACAATCACTTCCCTACTACTGCTGCCCACAGTATTCCTGATACAGGCCAGGATACCGTTGGCCTTGGCCACCTGTACACCAGCCAGTCAGCTGTCCATCAGCACTCCCAAGTCATTCTTCATCAGGCAGCTTTCCAGCCACTCTTTCAAGCTTTTAGTGTTGCATGGGGCTATTGTGACCCAAGTGTAGAACCTAGTACTTGGTCTTGTTGAACCCCATAAAATTGGCTTTGGCCCATTGATCCAGCCTGTCCAGATCCCTCTGTACAGTCTTCCTACCCTTGAGCAGATTCCATCCTAGATTTTTGTCATTCGCAAACTTACTGCAGGTGCACTCAATCCCCTCATCCAGATCATGAATAAAGGTATTTAACAGAACTGGCCTCAATACAGAGCCCTGGAGAACACCACTTGGGACTGGCCGCCATCTAGATTTAACTCCACCACCACTCTTTAGGGCCAGCCATCCAGTCAGTGTCTTACCCAGCAACGCGTATGCCTGTTCAAGCCCTGAGTAGCCAGTTTTTCCAGGAGAATGCTGTGGAAAACAGTGTCAAAGGCCTTTACTAAAGTCCAGGTAGACAATATCTACAGCCTTTCCCTCACCCACTGAGGAGGTCACCTTGTCACAGAAGGAGATCACATTAGTCAAGCAGGACCTGCCCTTCATGAACCCATGCTGACTGGGCCTGGTTGTCCTGCACATGCCACATGATGGCACTCAGTATGATCTGCTCCATAACTTTTGCCAGCATTATGGTCAGACTGACAGGTGTCTAGTTCCCGGGATTTTCCTTTTGGCCCTATTGTAGATGTGTGACATATTTTCTAACCTCCAGTCAACTGGGACCTCCCTGGCTAGCCAGGACTGCTGATAGATGGATGGAGAGTGGCTTGGTGAGTACTTCCATGAGTTTCTTCAGTACTCTTGAGTGGAACCCATCTGGCTGCATAGACTTGTATATATCTAAGTGGTATATCAGGTTGCCAACCTCTTGTATTAGGGGGGGCTTCATTGTTCTCCCTATGCCTATCTTCCCTCTTAAGGGTCTGGGTACTCAAAGTACTACTGGTTTTACTAACGAAGACTGAAGTAAAGAAGTCATTAAGTACCTCAGCCTTTATTCCTCATCCCTGGTCACTATATTTCCCCCCAACATTCAATAAAGGATGAAAAATCTTGTTAGTCCTCCTTTTGCTGTTAACGTTAATAAGGAACATTTCTTATTGTCTTCAACAGCAGTATTAAGTTCTAATTAGGCTTTAGCCCTTCTAATTTTCTCCCTGAACAGCCTCATGACAACTTTGTAGTCCTCCTGAGTAGACTACCTGTTCTTACAAAGACCGTTAACTCTCCTCTTGTTTCTAAATTCCAGGTAAAACTCTCTGTTCAGCCAGGCTGGTTTTCTTCCCTGCTGACTTGTGTTTCAGCATATGGAGACAGCCTGTTCCTGTGACTTTAAGATTCCCTTCTTGAAGAGTGTCCAGCTTTCCTAGACTCCTTTGCCTTTGAGGAGTGCCTCCCAAGGCACTCTCTCAACAAGGTCCCTGACTAAGTGAAAGTCTGCCTGCCCTAAGTCCAAGGTGGCAGTTCTGCTGACTCCCCTCCTCACTTCTCCAAAAATCTAAAAATCTGTCATTTCATGATGGCTGCGCCCAAGACGGCCTCCAGCTGTCACATTCCCCACAAGACCCTCCCTGTTCACAAACAGCAGGTCTAACAGGGCATCTTCCCTAATTTGTTCCTTCTTCACCAGCTGTGTTAGGAAGTTCTCTTCTGCAGGCTCAAGGAACCTTGGGGACTGTTCCCTCTCTGCTCCACTGTATTTCCAACAGACATCTGGGAAGATGAAGTTCTCCATCAGCACAAAGAGCTAGAGAATGTGAGACTTCTCCCAGCTCCTTATGGAATATTTAATCAAACTCTTCATCCTGGGTGGGTGGCCTATAACAAACTCCCACCATGATATCTGCCTTGTTGGCCTTCCCCTTAATTCTCACCCATAAGACTCAACCCTATTGTCACTATCCTTAAGCTCTAGAGAGTCAAAAATCTCCCTAACATACAAGGCAACCCCACTGCCTCTCCTTCCTTGCCTATTCCTCCTGAAGAGTTTGCACCCATCTACTGCAGTACTCCAGTCATGTGAATCACCCCACCAGTTTTCGATGATGGTGACTACATCACAGTTTCCCTGCTGTTCAAGTGAAGCTGGGACACCACTGCCAGAGGGGAGACCTGAAGCACTTGAGTCTCTTATGGCTCCCTATGGACACATATGGCTCCGTAGGGCCATACTAAATTTCATACAAGATCTTTAGCTGTTCTGGAATACAGAATGTTAAATAAATTCTACCTGTACAGAAAAGATCAAAATTTATCTCAAGAATCCAGGGAAAGGCAGGGACCTGTACACCACGTTCTGCAGTGATTTAAAACGCTTCACTATCATAAACTCAGTGCTATCTTCAGTACTGGGCTAACTCAGCTGACCCTTCAGTTAGCAACTATAAAATACAAGAGATAAATATGTTTAGATTTTGGAATATATGCTGCCAGAGTTACCCAATAACACACTTGTTTTCAGGAATATAGTTCAAAGAGCATTTATAGCAGACACACAAGTATGCCATTGCCTGTTTGCTTGAGATCACATTGAACATAATTCAAAAGATCAGTTATTTTGCTTGTCTCATGACCCAGGAGTCAAACATTTTAGTATAAACAGAGTTTTAAAAACATTTTTGTTGTATTGTCTAGATTTCTAGGAATGATGCAAAGGAAAGCATCAGTTTTAAATACCTTTCAGACCAGAAAAGTAGTTGCATGTGATATACTCCAACATGGCTTTAGTAGTTGATTTCAATGTGGTTTGTTAGTTTGGTTTTTTTAACACAGATAATTGTTGCTATAAAGTTCACAGGTCACCTTCTGGCCCCTCTTGCTTTTGCCCTCTAATTCAGCATTATTTTGCAATCATAAACCATATGCATGAGTGTACCTATACAACATATGTACAGGCATGTCAGAACAGGGAAGAGGGGTTTGGAAATTCTGTGCAGGCTAGGTGCATGGACTGCTTTAATTTTCATTATATTCTCCACGTTATTATTTTTATTATTTTTTACTAAGTTAATTTTATTAATATAATTACTGATATGTAAAGTACTCTGCATACAATATACTCAGCACACTATCCACAGGGTTTTCTGCTTTTCCAGATGTAAATCTAAGAAATCTCTGTCCTGAGACACAAACTTAAGGTGAGAAACACACTCAGGAGTAGTAATGAGGATACAGAAGAAGAATTGTGTCCCAGAACTAGTGGGTCTGAAATTACTTTGGCATTTTGTATTGCTGAACAATTGAAGGGGTAAAAAGAATGCTAGAAGTAAAGACGAAGAAGAGTTTGATTTGGAGGGAACAGGGTAAAGTGCAGCAATGTACCTAGCACTAAATTCCTGTCTGTGATGGGGGATGGGAGCGGCTGGTTGTTTTGATTGTAGGCTGAACCCAGATTTCAATATCAAATATAAATAAATAACATTGTAATATTCATGTTAGTTTTGCAGCAAATCATTACAGCTACAGTCTTCCCTTCCCTTTGTCTTACGAGGTCTTCTAAGACATCAGGTTTAAAACACTACCACTCTGACTTACGAGCTTTATGAACCTATTTGCAGAAAATCCAGAGCTGCAGACAATGAAATTCCAAATGAAGTGACACAAGCAACTGCTAGGATAGCAACTTTTCTTTTCAGGCTACAGATTTAAATTGTTGTAAAGAAATAATACAAGTTATTTATAATAACATAGAGATATCTGTGTTTCTGATCTTCATCTGGAAATTAAAGGAGTATGGTTCCTCCACAAATGACTATCGTGTAAAATCTTCTTACCTTAGTTCCTGAAGTAGGTACAAGTCCCACAGCTGCCATATATGTACTTCCAATTGTCTTGATCTTTTCTATGTCCTTATAACATTCTTTGTCCATAAGCTTTGTTTAAAACATAAAACTGTTAAATATTACATAATATTTTAGACAAGCAACCATAGTTATAAGATAATATGTGCAAATTGATTAAACCACCATGTTATATTTAGTAAATTGAGGCTTATCCACTTTGAGGCTATTAAAAAAATTACTATTGGGACTCACGTGCCTAAAAGTACAAACTGCGCACTTGGAGAAGCCCAGTGGACACCAGCTACAATTAAATAGGAAGTTTACAGTACTGTTTTATTAGGCAGTTCAAGATATGCTGAGTTGCTACAGATAATCTCTCTTGATAGTAATTTGATAGAACTCACAGGTCAAAAGACAAAGTGTTTAGACCTTACCTCATCAAAATCAGCAATAATTTCATTTAACAGGCGTAAACATTCCACTCCCATATTATTGCCGTCCAATTCGATGTAGAAATCATTGAAATTTGGGATAGAAGCAAACATCACTCCCACTTGTGAATATGACTGGTAATAAAGGTCCTGTAATTCAACAGATATATTTTTTTATTTTAATAGATTAATCTAAACCAGGGATCATTACTACAATATATATTCAAGTGCTAAGCAATAGCTAGGACAAAAGCCATCACTTTTTAGCAGAGATAGCACTAGTCTTATTAAAAAAAATGCTCAAAGATCTCTCCAGTCAAAAACACTAAATAAAATTAACACCTAAGCTATTAAACCCATTTAAAACAACCTAGTCTTTTTCTCTGTTTAGACATAGAAGCAGTGACTAAAAATTTTGTAGAAAGTCTTAACAATTGCGTAAGTTTTACTATGTGAGAAATGTATTTTCTCAATCTTGTTTTATAACTAAAGTAGGAGATGAAAAGATTTTACCCTGCAGCACAAAACCAGCCTCTCTCCTTCATATGTTTTCCTGAGTTTCACAGTCCTGTGTTCAAAATTAACAATATAATGCTGTTCTGTATGGTAAAGTTTCTGATTTAGGATTTGGAGGGCTCACAAATGTAAAACCACAATTCTGTGGTTGAGATACATGGATCCAGACTCTCAAGAGCAATGTTAATGGCTACTCTAGTGCTGGAAGTATTGCAGTTGCACTGGAATGACTCCTGAACTAATTTATTTAATCATCAAAGCCTTTGATGTTAGAAGCTACTGTCTCTTTCGTGGATGTATAGAATTCTCCGTCTTTAAATTGGCGGGTTTAGTAATGTCAGCATATTTCCAGGACTAGAGTAGTTCACACAGAGGTTTCTGATAGTTTGTACGCTTCACCATTCAGAACCACACTGAGCTCATGAAATACTGTGATAAATCCAATTCTAAATTGAAAAAACAACCCAAAACTATATGCATGCAGACACTTGGCTGCATTGATATTGAATGACACAAAATTCCCTCATCCCATTTATTACTAAAATTTGTCCAAGAAGAAGGACACTAGAGCAAAAAAAAAAAGTAATCCCTATTTAATTTTTGAACTCAAGGTTTTATAAAACTATTCCTCTTAACATGAATAAAATTTTATAAGCACAAGTCTTTCTTGAAAATGAACAGTTGGAAGATGACACAAGCTACACAGGGTCACACCCATACAAAATCAACATATATTTAAATTTTATCTTGGTTTACCATATTTCTTGGATTAGACATAAGAAAGTGCTGTGCAACATGTGCTGGCAACAGGTTGAAGAGTATTCTTTTATTATCCAGCTTGACTCTCTCCATATCATCTCTCTCTTCTTCTGCCTATGGGGATAGAGGAAAAGAAAAAACTTTCCAAAGAGCACAAATTTAGGTGAAGGCATCAAACAGCTTCTATTAATTCATTCTTTGAAATTAAACTAGACAACATAATGCCCATAAAGTAGACGGGGTACAGTTCTCCCATACCATGCTTTACACAGGGCCAAAATCCCTTTAAATCCTTAGTAATTCAAGATAAAGTCTTTGGGCTGGTGACTACTTACAGGGCTTGATCAGCTAAAGTTTATTGGTGTCTTCTGTAGTTCTCAGCTCTTACAAATAGGTCCTTGATATTTTTACAGAGTAAAAACCCAGAATAATCCCCCTTAAGCCACATTGGCCTTTGAGGCCAAATACTTCCCAGGTAGGTGGAAACACGGACAGCAGTATTTGAACCTTTCAAAAAACAGAAATCTGGAGAATCACCAGTGCTTTAGCAAACCTACATCGCTTTGCAGTAAAATGAAAATAGACCTGGTAAGACAGTAACTTCAACAAAGTGTTTTAAAATTGAACATAAGAATGATATGCAATTAAAAAAATAAAATACATGTTTATAAAATAATTAGCATTTCTAGAGGTGGTTTTAATTACTTCTGGTATTTCTCATGAAAACATAGACACTTCCTGTGCACAGAAACTTCCATGTACAACAGCAACAGACATTCTACTATTCATATGAATGACAGTATTCAGAAACAGTGCCTAGGAAATAACACAGGTGAGATCCTTAACCCAGGATACTGGTATCTTATTAGAAGTGTCTTGACTCACAGGAGTCAGAGGGAGTCATGCATTAGGAAAGAATTCTAAAACGCAGACCCCTTATAGGAAAAATACTGAATATCTAGGGAGCTGGTTTGGAACTCCTGTGTCTTCAAATTCTAGACTAGTCCTTAGGAGACTCTTCTGCAAAATTAGTTCTCCAGAATTTGCTCCCTGTTGTGACTTTTGGCTCCACATTATGATATTCTAGACTGTTGGTTTTCTGGTTGTTTCCTTATGACAGAACTTCAAGGCATGCTATGGCTTTTCTCCTCCTTTCTGTCTTCCTTCAATACTCTCGTGAAACTACTGGGAGAGAAATGCCAGTGACAATACTGTATGTGTGCAGGTTTCATAGAATCCCAGAATGATTTGAAGATCATCTAGTTCCAATCCCCCCATCCACGGGTAGGGTCACCTCCCACTAGACCAGGTTGCTCAAAGCTTCATCCAGGCAGAACTTGAACACTTCCAGGGTTAAGGCACCCACAACTTCCCTTTAGGTATGGGTGTGACAGTGTTTACAATGATGGGACCATAATCATGTCTAAGAGGCTGAGAAGTGAGCTCCTGAGTGAAGAGCTAGTGGCTCAAATCAAACCATGAAAGTCAAGAATGAAAGGGTGGAAAAATCCTCTAAGAGTAGGGAAATGCATCAAGGATGCATCACCATTGCTAAGAAACACAACAGAATGCTACGTTTCCAACACAGCTAGCAAGTGTCTCTTCACCTCTTGCATGCAAAACTCTTAACTACACTTTTGTCTCTGAAAAAATTCAGTTGCCAGAAATGAGATGAAAGCCACTAAGGTCATGGAAGACCCTTGAATGGTGGGTTATAGCAGCGAATTCTAAATAAAGACAAATTATGCAAACAGCAGAAGGGGAGGAATTTAGGTCAAGTGCTCCTAGCTTTTTGTGCCCTGGCCTATTTCAGGCCAGGCACCTCTTCACCTGGAGTGCGCTCTCACCCCGTGGTTCAGGGAGACATTTGCAATGGCAATGCCTATATGGGGTAATTCAATGCCATGAAGAATAAATTGTGTCAACTCTGCCTGAGGTAGTCGCAGATAAAGAGGCAGAACATAAGTGGAATTAGCATAAAAATCATTCTGAACTGCTTCAAAGGTAAGGCATTTCAGCTTAGACCACACACTGGGTTAATATCACTATATTGTTGCTGGCACCCTAGCCAGTCTCTACATGGACTTAGTGCTGTTCAGATATACCAAATGTCCAACATCCTCCCTTGATTAAAATGGTCTGCTAGGAATATGAACAGAAGTGTACCTTCTCTGCTACTACTGCATAGAGTTTGAGTATCCATCTTCTCACTCTGCACTGCCTAAGACAACTCTCATATGCAACTCCCCAGGAGCTGCATGGAGAAAGAGGAAAGATCCTGTGTCTCTTGCAAGGGCAGGAGTGATGGTGAGGTAAAAAAAGACTTGGTCATGTTCAGCAGCGAGCACTATCCCATTACACAGCTCTATAGGGAGGGAAGTAAAACAATTATTGATAATTCCTGGACCTTTTCCCAGCTTTCTGCTTTCTGCCCTTCACAGGAATGCAATGAAAACTGTCTTTCCTCCTTGTGACTCATGAACTCCTAGTGCCTACTCATTGAACAGCTGAAATAAAATGATGTGTAGACATCACCCTTTCCCAGGCAAAACAGGCACTGAGAAGGAAGGAGGAGTACTTGGAGCTGGAAAAAGAAGATTAAAATGGTGCAGATCACAGGCATTTACATTCCTGTGGAAATATTATCCACACAGTTAAATAGCATGCAAACCTTCATCTATTTACCCCTATTCCTATTAGTTAACTAAGGAAAGTTGTCAGCATGATATTTATGCAACAGCTGCTGGCTCAAAAAAACAAGGCAGATTATTGTGAAAATAAACAAGAAAGAACATACATAAGCATGAGCAACATCATTTTTCACATTCTGCTTTTTTCTTATACCTGTTTGGTATTTGTGGCAGCTAGGCAATTTTGCAGAACTTAACTATACTTGCAGAGCTGCAGTATTTAAGAGCAGGCTTTACTTTTGTTTTGGATCTGGTGACAAAATTTAAAATGTGCTTTGGTATTATGGCTTTTGACATCAATGTAATTAACAGCTATTGCATTTTACAAAATTACACAGTATCCCACAGTTTTTACAGTGCCAGTAATTGGTTACACATCCTCCTTTCAGGAAACGGTCTGAGCTGCCGTATCACCTGAGCTACCAGGTGACTTTTTATAAACATAAAAACTGCTGTTGCAGTGTCACTGACTGAAGAGTTACTCTGTGAAAAGCCACTACTTCAACTAACAGTTAGAAAGACGCCAGGAACCGGTACCACAGAAACTTCATCATCTGTGTACCTAAAGGTGGCACCAAAACCACGGGGAAAAGCCCCATAGCTCTGCTTCCATAGGGCTAGATACTTAAGATGAAGTGCAAGCACACCTGACAAGTCCTGCCTGCAGATCGTAAAATACATATTTCTTACATGTGTCACAGATTAGAAAGACATTCTGTGATATTCTAGTACTATGGTATGATCTTCTATGGTATGATATTCTAGTACTCCCTAAAGCATGCATCAATCCATCATATGTTTGTATTTTTCTTATTTTCCTTCCCCGACAAATCCTGTGTCAGTGAGCAATTTTATTGAATAATTTGCATAAGCAAAAGTGATTATCAGTCGCAAATAAGCAAAATGCTCCTATACTTGCTATTCATAGTTATTGTTATACGAGGCACACAGAGTTACTCAAAAATTTTGTGTAGAAAATGAGATTCTCCTCCTACAACCTGTTGAAAAAAACCCAACAACCAACAGATATTTTCTGGAAATACTGTGATATTCTGAAAGGTTAAATTAGGCACAGAAAAAACGCTAGCAAATTCAACAAGAACATATAACACCATTGATGTGTGAACAGTAACTACAGATATAAATGTTTTAACAACTTTTCATCAATCAGAAAAATGTAATTTTTCCACATGATGTAGATAAATTGGACTATATTATCTCTGTTCTGGTTACATTATCTAGATGCATAGAAATTAGATTAATTTTCCTGAAGTGTACCATTTTTCTAAATAATTTTTTCTTATTTGAAATCTGCTTTTCTTCAAAACACATTTTTTTCCCTGATGTGGCAAACAAAATCTATAGGCATGGGTTTTCCTCAAAACTTAATACAGACTACTGAGAATTGACTTATATACTCTTATTAATAATGGTATTCGTTGCAGGATACTTACAGTGTTTAAAACATCATTTAGTTAGTACTAGACTGTTAGTTGTTCATTATGAAGTAAATGAAAATATTTGTGAAGTCGTTTTTACTACAGCTTATGCCACAGTTTTACTCATGGGAGAACATTTTTACAGGATTAGCCCCACAATGACCCTTACTAAAAGTATGCACAGTGCATGCAGCTTCCAGAATAGCCCTTGAATCTGACATTCCTCTAGTTCTATGCCAACAACTGAGAAACTTCCTAAAATATACATTGTACCATGTCAGCACATCTTTCACACAGAGCGTGCCACAACATGGCACATCTTTCACACAGACTGACTGGCTACTGGGGGATGCAAATCTCCAGCTCTAGCAGATGTTCATGCAATTCAGTGTTTCTTTCACTCCGTAAAACAGAAGAAAATCTCCACAGTCCGTGTGCATTAAATCAATGGTCTTCAAAATTTCTGCTGTCAAGAATGTAACCAAGTTAAGTCAGCATGGTTCAATGGTAAGTAGTACTGCAGCTGTAGAGAAACACTGTTTAAGCATATACAGGGCTCCTGCAGTCCAGCAGCTAGAGGAAGCTGTCCCTCAGGAAGGTGTTTTCACTCGTTTCCTCTTAAAGAATGTTAAATGACTAGTAACTTGGAGTTTGGTAGTTGTTCAAGAGCATTTTTAATATACAGATATTTCCAACCAATAATCTTCCCCAGAGCTTAGAATACTCAGATGTTTACTATGCCAAAGACACTAGTCAGTACAAAGACAATGGTTTTTTTCAATTGTTTATTTGTCTAAGGAAGCACCATAAGCATTTCTGTAACATCCATCACTATGGTACCTCTGCATGTTATGTTACTTAGCCCTTGTATTCAAATAATTTATAACCAATACACAGAGTGCAAACCAGGCCAACATTCCTTACAACGTTATCCACTATTATTTATTGTACTGGAAATATATCTTCCATCTGGAGCAGAGAAGTGCAAGGGTATATGCTCAGATCATCAAACAGGCCAAGCATCTACTCAGCATACTAATTGCAAAGTATAATAGTTATGTTGATCCCTAATTTCTGTGCTTTCTACCTACTCTGTTTTGTTTTTTCATTCTGACTATTATCATGCAAATCTCACAAACAAGATGGTACCACCTAAGTACCTAATCTACAATTGAAAAGATTTGAAAGTGGCATTTGATCTTCTCAGAGGAAAAGCACTTTTTGCAATGGTACCTTAAGATGCCATTGGACATTATTGAAATTTGACAGGCATCCATATGTCTTAACTCCCCATATTGTCCTTTCGAGTAAGTGTACAACGGTTTAAACAATAGTGGTAGACGACTAGGTATTTATGTAAAACCTGGTCCCAGGAAAACAGAAAAAGCTTGTATTTCTTCCTTTACTACTGTCCATTTCTGGTCTTTCAGCAGGCAAGCATCCTATTAGCTTCCTGTACTTGAATTATTTTAATTAATTGTTTGCTAATTAAAAGCCAACTTAAAGAATCTTCAAGCAACGCACTCCTTTGAGGATGCACAATTCACCGTGAAAGTCATAGTAGCTGGAATGGTTAAAAGCATTCAAGATGCTATAACTCACTCTTAACGGGTTGAAAGGCCACAGGATAGCGAAACTATCTTTCTGCTTGCTACTCATGCTATTCCTACTAGGAATAACATAGAGAAAGTCTCCTATTCATGGATAATACGGCACTCACAAAGATCCACCACGTGCTAATCTATATAAAGAAAACCACTATACAGCTAGTCATGTGCTGCTCTAAGTTTCAAAATCAGGTGATGTTTTTTTCCACCTGAAAAAAAAGTATTTGGCACCACAGCAAGCAGAAACTATTATCAGTTTGTCCAAAACAAACTTCTGAGGCTGACAGACCTCAATAGCACCTATCAATACTGCAGGTCACAGGACAAAAATTGAAAGAAGTGATCACTCATTGTTTACTCTGATAAACAGCACAGAGTCCACAGAAATTATAGAACAAGGTAAACTTAAATCATAAAGGAGGTGGATATGGTCTTGGACATCAAAACAAACAAAAAGTCCCAGCAAAGTTTAACTGTTAGGAAGAAAAAAAAAAAGAGTAGAATATAATAAAGCTAAGTTACTCCTTATTTCTCCGTTGTAGGTAACACAGTAGATGAGTCAGGGATATGTTTAACCCATGTGTTCCAGTCACAGTCTTACATATAAAAGCATGCACTGTTATGATTTACATAGTCCTCTTAACACAGTTAACACGGTGTAGGTGAGAACAGGGTGTGACCTCTGTGAACTACAGTCTTATAACTGTAAGATTTATCATAAAGGCAACTTCCAATTCCACCAAAATAAACTTATATCTTCAACTTCCTCTTCCCTTCAAAGGCGAGTGTGAAACACTTTGGAGGTGGGAATAGGGCTCCCGAGAGGCATGGCAGGAGGTAGATAGCTCCTGACGACCCTGATTATGGCTAATATAATTATAGGTTTTGCTGTGATTATGATAGCTAGGAAACACATTTCAAAAAGACCTCCATGCATTTGGTATCTAAATATCCTTTGGGAAACCATGGTTTCATAACATGATATGGGTATAAGTATTTCCTTTTATCAGTTTTATTTGCTTCTTTTCACTTTATCTGAACATCCACTTATTTTAACCCTTTTTTTTGTATTATAAGATGAAAAGAAACACATGGATTTAATTTATCTCATGAGTATAATGCTAACAGTCAGTTCCCCATGTTTGAAATTCTCTCTATTCACAATGAACCTTAGATAGAAATATATCACTTCGTTAATGATGTACTGTTATAGGATAACTACAACAACAAAAAACCCCACTTCTGCATACTAAATGAATTTTAGAGGTCTGTGGTAAGACAGGTCTGACAATTTTTCTCTGTAAAACCCACTGGACATAAAAAAAAATTGACTGTCTTAGTTCAATTAATGTGTTCTGAAAGAATTTGAAAGTGAATTCAAAAAGACACAATTCTGTGTGCATGGATACTAGAAAGAAAAGCCCTATGACTTACCTGCACAGCCCAGAGGTAGTCCAGACGCAACTTCAAGTCCACCTGTCTCGAATGCAGTGCCAAAGCACAAGAAAATAGCAAAATGGCTAGTATTGGTTCATAGCCACGCATATAAAAGGAGCCACCCCTTAAAAATAAAACAAAAGTAAATGGGTGATTCCAGGTTTTCTAGAACCTAACATTGCATATTTTTAATATCATATCTTTAGTTTAGAACATGTGTGTTCTCCCTAATCACTAGTCTTTTCTAAAGAGGATTGTACGGGCACGGAGATGGGTGAGAGCAAATTTGATGACTGCAGCACACAAACATTCAACTTCTTGGGGATTTTATAATTCTATACATTATTACAAAGTTTGTGCATGCTTTTAATTAAGAAATATAAAAACATGCAAAAGCTTCAATGAAACTGGAATGGGTTGAAGGCTGCTGAAATGTGGAAGAGAATTTTTTAACTGTGTTTTTCTATTTCATATTATAATTAGACTGCAATGGGTACAGTTGAGGTATGTTAGCATAGAACTACAGAATAATGGGATAATAGTTGCTAGTTCCCAAAAGCTGATCTCCTCTTCATGGATATTACTAGATCCTACAACTGCTGAGGAGAGCATGGCTTAAGTATTTTTTATGTTCTACTGAGTATATAGCCCTAAGCAGCGCTGAATGCTAAAGGGCAGTTCCCAGATAAGTAGCGTCAGGACTATCTATACAGAAATACACATTGCTTTAACTTTGCAAGATACCTACCCCACCGCTTTTCTGTAACCACTGAGTTCCAGAATAACTATGTACAAAATTGTAACAAAAAGCAGGAGAATCATTTTTGGCAAGGAAGATACACGCAGAAATATTGCCAAGGTGAGAGTCCCCACTACACAAGAAAGGAAAGCATAGTGGGCTGTGTCACATGGAAGTTCATTCATTGTTTTATTTGTTCCACCAGGAGAAATGATAACTATTGAACTGCTGGAATTGGTATTCCAAACCCAAGGCATACAGCCAACCTAGAAAAGACAGGAGAGGCAAGAAGAGGAGAAAGTTAAATACGAAATAAACATAAATGTAGCTGCTATGGGAGCTGACTGTAGCTCATTCCTATTTGGGAAAATATGGCCGCAGAGTTCCCATCCAGCTCACTGCTCTGATAAAATATCTCTCCTATTCTTGTAATGTTTTACTAAGTTTTAGGTGGACACTCTGTTTAGGAGACACTCTGTTCATTAGATGCCAGTAAGGCCAACCAATTAAAGTTTAGGTTTGGCTGAATTGTTTTCGTCTCAGTGCTCAAACCCAAGAGATTCTCAAGCCAAGCTCTTCCTGCAAAATTCTGGTACTTCAGCAAACATATTGCATGGCCATGTGGGCAAGAAAAGCTCTTGCAAAGAGCACAGAAAGAAACTGCATCAATTTCAATTAATCAAATATAAACCATATTTTAATATTTAATTGAAAAGCTAAACATGAATAATGCTTTTTTTCCTCTCCACTTCAGAGCTACTTCTACTGTCACATATGAGTGAAATACAAGGCTTCATCTTTCATTATCTCTGCCATTTCAGTTATACATTTCCTCCCCAGACTGGGAAATAAAAAAATGTTTTAGTGCACTTCTTACGGGAAATTTGAGAAAATTTAACCTGTTTCTTCCAAAGGCAATGTCAAGTACTCATCTCAGAGCTGTTACCCAAGGAAGGGAGGAATTTCTGGCAAATAGCAGAAGTCCCTAGAGCTCCAGTTTTAATTGCACTCCAACCTTCACCCCTTATGAAGGGAAAGGATAAGAGTTAGCATAAATGGGGAGAGTGGGATGGTAGTGTGAAATTTTACAGGGGGTTTTAGTCATTTAAAAAGATGAGACATAACAGATAAAATGTGAGTTAAACTCATAATAGCTAACATCATGAAATGAGATGAGAAAGAGCGAAGCAAAAAATCCATTTAAGGGGATTTTGTTCAATATCCTTAAGAATGCTGCTCATACTAAACTCATTTCAAAACATAGGCATGCATGAGGGCTTCATAAATGACGTGCAATCTATCCAGCAAAACACTATTTGCTCTAACACTAAGAGTGACACATCAACACCTAGTACTTCTGCTAGCTGAGAATTCTAGAGGCATTACTTTGCAGGAACTAATAACTTCTACTGATTATTTCTTCTAAGCAATTCAAGGTTACAGGCTGCTTTTGCTTCAATAAAGGATAAAATTATATTTGTAACCTATTTTAATGAATGATCACTGTCTCATTGGAGGTCAGAACTTCTGAATTCTAATCTGTCTTCTTCCACTGATGTTCAACATTGCTGTAGGCCTTACGATGTCTATTTCTTATTTTCACTGTCTCCAATTGGCAACAATGGTGCTTTTTTCATTTGGTTAAAGCCAGTGTCACATCTATGGAGCCTGATCCATGAAGGTTCTAGCTGTCATAATATTCATGTCAATCCCAAAGTCAGATACACAGAACTTGCTGAGATGCTAGCTAGCTTGGAGACGCTGCACATCTCTATGCATTTTTGGCTAATATGCACATTAAGAACAACATTTATGTCTGTGCGCTATTAGGGCTATGTGTTACTCACATAGCTAATGTTCAAGAGTTCCCAGAAATGTCTGAACATCAGTAATTCTTGGTACCTGTCAGGACATTGGAATTCACAGACAAGGGATCCTCTGCCCATTCAGTTCATTCAGCTTGGTAGATGTTCTCAGGGCAGGTCCAGGGACAAGTGAATACACAAAATACAAAATAAAGGGCTTGGCATCTCTGATAGTACTGTGAATTGCTCATGAAATCACTGTCTTCCTATTCGTCAGAACATATTGCCTAAATCCCACAGAGAGGTATGATTTGAGACATCTGCCTCTTCAGCATTTTCGATTGTGTTTAGTGTGTTATTTTTGTGTGGATTCTTTCCTTTGGGTACTCTAACATGTTTAATTCATTACCATTAGCAGCCAAAACATTGAAACTGAGTGCTAGGTATTTGACAAGGCAACTAAAAGCCAAATATTTAGGTGAAAGTTTAAATCCCATTTGATATTCAAGTCCACCATGTAGAACAAGCTGTTAAATCCACAGTAAAAGAAACTCAATTTTCAGAAACAGTAAATTCACTTCATATAAGACAAACTTCCTAGACATTACATATGAATGGTTCATATAAGTGGCCCAGTGTAAGCACCTCTACTTTTTACACAATGCTGTCCTTTTCTGATCTGCCTGGCATAAAAATATGCTCTTGTTATTACACAGAAACGTGTTCTATAAGTTGCCACATAGAAATAAGTAATGTTGCTTGACACCATGTCCTGTCTGTCACAAAATATTAGCCATTGAACTAGTAAGAAAGTTCAACATTTAAAAATAGTTTTTCCATAAAGTAATTGACATCAGCAGATTATGTGATACTAAGATTTGATACATAAAAATTTCTATGCATGTTGACTAGGTATTATCTATGTAATTTGCTAATAGCTTTGCCATTCCTAATTCAACATGCTGACTCAGGGCAGTGAAAGTTCAAATTATAGCAAAGGGCTTTAATTTTGAAGAAACATGTTCTGCAGGTATGAATAATAAAAAGAGTAGGAATTCACCAGCTGAGAATATGCTATGTGTTTAATGGATATGTACCAGGTTGTTCTTTAAAAAGAATGCTAAATTAAGTGATACTTGATTTAAATACTCACCACACATCCTTGAGCCACGGAGTATATTAAGATCACAATAAAAATACACAAAATGGTACGAATTTGTATTGTCAGGCACCCTGGAAAACACTAAGGAAGAAAAAAGAAAAGATTTAAAGATAAAGATTTAAAAATATTTTGTAAAATGGAGGGTTGCTATTTTCAGTCATTTATAAAAAGAAGTGAATAAGGGATATGGAAATTTTGCCTGCACTGCAAAAAAGCGTGCAGTTATTGTGTACATGTGTTTTAATGGTAATTGCGGTTTTGGGGGTAGTAAATGTGAAATTATTATTATTATACACTATTTCTCACTATAATTAGAACTATTTGAAAGGTTAGTAGGATGTCTGCTCATAAGGCAAATAATAAATTAGGATGGCATTTGATTTTATTCTAATGAGGAAAATACACAAAGCATCTTTTACCTTGCGAATTATCAGCCACAAATAGTGATCTCAGAGAACATACTGTGGTAGCACAGAATTTTGGAGTGGTATTTGTGTCTTCTGCTATAATAGTGACATTAAATGTCAGGGTAGTTTTAATTATCAGGACTCATTAAAAATATTGAATTTGTTAGAGCAGAAAAAAGCAGTAAAGAACAAAAACATCTGGTGGAATGGAGTCTTTTGAATGTCTTGCTCATCTCCATTTTTCCTCTGATTCCATCACTGGAAAGTGCTTGCCGCTGAGTGCACATATGAAGCCAATAACAGGAAGTGCAAGAGGAAGTGCAAGTCTGTCAGGCTCTAGTACTTATGCCTGTTGCAGTCATACTGATCTACTGTGGGTTCAGGGAGAGTTGCTTTCCTGCTTTTCCCTTTGCACTAGAAATGTTTGGGGCATCTATTTGCTACTGGATCCACAATAGGTCCTTCACACCACAGGACTACTTCCAGTGACTTCAGGGGGCAAGAATCAACTCCAGGAAACTATCAGATTTAAAGTGGGAACAATCTTACATTCCTTAGAAGGAGAGGGCTCAGAAGGCTGGATTTGACTTAAGCTCAAATTGAGTAAGAAACACATATTTTTTGGACAAAAGTCACCAGTTCTGAAGAAAAGCTATTCACTTCATAAGTATCATCAACATAAAAAGCAGGCAGCAAAGTACCCATAGAGAGGGGCTTCTAGGGCATTGGCACAACAGAAATCATGTATTGAAATTCCTCCCTTTCCTTTCACTTACGCAGAGACATTTCCCTTGTGTGTATGACCATGAATTACAAGTCTGAGATAGTTATAGGCGAATCAACTTCAACTGGGCTGTGAAACATGAGAATACAGCAATTACAGAAAAAAAATAAAGAGCTTATCTGATCTGCACATATATTCTGGCTTCAGTATGGATTAAGTAAGTCCATATAAATGTAGGTGGGGAACAACCAACACAGTATCAATACTAGATTGATATAAGCATATTATGGACCTGAGTTAATTTACTACACCAGAAACTAGTTTAACTGTTAGTCAGCATCAGTATAATATGATGGGATACCTGAGGTCTATCACCTTTAATACAACAGTAAGCATATTGTAGAACAAAAAATTTGAATTGTAAGAATCTCACATTGAAAATCTGTGTCTCAAGGGAGGGGATATAGCAGTGTCTGAAATAGACACCATGAAAACCAGTATAGATTATTTCTCCATTTATTCATCACTATCATGCAGTTCAGGTTGGAAGGGACCTCAAGGGGCCCAGGAGCACTATTTGCCTTGATCAGCAGGATCATTTTTGCAGAGCTGGTTAGTCCCAAGCCTGTGTCAGTGCATGGGGTTCTTCCTTCTCAGGGCCTAAACTTTTTATTTGTCCATCCTGTATTTCATAAGATTTCTGTTGGCTCACTCTGCCAACCTCTCAACGGTCATTCTGCCAGTGTGTTAGCTGTTCCCCTGAAACTGGAGTCACCTCAAAACTTGTCATGAGTATATTCCATGTCCTTCTGGTCATTAATAAAAATGTGTAACAGGGCAGATCCCAGGATAAACTCCTGTTGTACCTCACTTATTACTGGCTTCGAGGTAGATTATGACCATAAACTGCTATGCTGAGAATGTAACCATTTAGATGATTTTTACCCATTAAGTCGTCTACCCAAGTAGACCAAAAATTCTATGTACACATGAGATGGAATATATATGTTTTTATCCATACAAACAAAATTTAAAAAAAATTGTTTCAGGGAAATATATACATATTTTATTAATTCAGTTTGCAGCTAAATAAGTTACCTACTTTTTAAAGAGAGAATCCCCATAGTTCAGAGATGATACTGCATGCTTAATAGTGATAAAGCAAAATGCAGACTCAAAGATAATATGTCTTGACCCATTGCACAGATTTTTCTTTTTGTGTGTGTGTCTGATAGTTATATGTTCTAAATTTTGATATGCTGAGCTATTGGGTTAAAAAGGAAAAAAGCCTTTAAAAGGTAAGGTATGAGACATGGCTGAATTAAAACTCTGATTGACACTTAAAAGATTTATACTTCTGACTTTTGGTCATTCTAAGATCGCATCTGTTCTTTTACGATAGCATAGCATTTTAGATTTAATTTTCTTTCTGGAAATTTTATTACCTAAGTAAGTACCATTGGATCCCCAAAATGCTAGGTAACTGGTACAGTAAACATTATTATAATGGTTTTATGAGTAAGGCATTTGTCGCTAAAGCATGGAGAAGGTGAGTTACTTGTCCAGTGGTAAAATAGCAAATAAGTGCCAGAAGACTGATTAAAATAGGGGAATGATTGGTTAACAATTCTACATTCATTATACATAGCCTATTCATTACTTATTATATAAGACAAATTGTGACCACAAAAATTCAAACGACAATATACTCTATGTCTTTATTTTTCTAATGCTGGATTTGATCCTGTAAGGTACTGAATCTCTAGGGAAACATGGAACAAATTAAAATTCTGTTGACTGCCGATATAGCTGGAAAAAAACTTAAGTTTGCACTAGCCCCAGGGAAATGACATTGACAGAAGCAATTTCCTACAAACTGCATCTGTATTTCCACTGTCCATAGACAGAACAACAGATGATAAACTACTGTGCCTTTATGAAACAAAAGGGATCATCAAAATTACTCCCAAATAATTGTGTAAGTTTATAAATAAAGATGTGCTCTGTACCAGATACTCTGCTAAAGTACTATTTATGCTTCCATGAAAACAATTACTTTCCTTCTGCCAAAGGGCATTTTTTCTTAACTAAAATTAGTGTGTGCTAATCAGCAAAGCTGATTAACTGTGTAGGTGTTTTCTCCTGATATTTGTCTGAAAAGACTAAATTTAGATTAAGCCACTACAGATTTCTTTCATCAGAAAATTAGCCAGTAAATGCTTTATTCTGATCTGGCAGACCTAGTTCTCTTCTACAACAATCATATGTCCTTCTGCATCATTAATGTTGTGAAAATGTAATGCAGGAGAATTAATCATTACTAAAGGTTTTGAAAAGGCAAAGAGTTTTGTGTGAGAAACATTGAGCTTTACCATCAAAACAACTGCTGCTTTGGCAAGGAAAGTTTTGAAAACGGAGGGAAGGTTGGCAGGACATTACACCGAGACACCAGTTGGAATGGAAGGGAGAACTAATGTACTGTATAGTCAGGAAGGACAAAAAGTCAGGTTAAAGCAGCTGTTTATCTGAACGCTGAAATGATACAGTGGCTAGTGCCCAGAGAAGATGTACCCAAAAGGACAAAAAAAGTATCATTAATGATACTGAATGCTACACTGTTGTTGGTCATGTGAAAAGTGTACTTTCAGGTGAACTGTCTTTGTTTTTGAAGAGCCTAATACATTACTCAGCAATGAACTTGAAAAGCACATAGATTTCAGACTCTGTGAATCTGTGAAGCAGGCACTAATGGCTTCATATTCCAAAGGACAAAGCATAGCCACCAAAGGGAGAATAGTCACAAAATCTTAAATCACTTACTTGTACTCGTGTGACATGTAGGTACATAATACAAGCCACTAGGAAGCATATGCAGAACACCAGGAGAACAAGAACTACGGTACTCCTAGAATCAAAACACAATAGAAATAAAGCAATGCAACTCAGTAGCAGATGAGAACAAACAGCACAGGGATCCTTCTGAAGTGGTATTTTGGATGAAGGTGAAGAATCTTCCCCTCACACTTGCTCTAATACTAACAGTTGCAGAGGAAATTTCACCGTGAAATGCACTGCTCTCAGGAACGAGAAATCAGTAATTGCTCTTGCATATGGTGTCCATTTCGACCTCAGCAAAGAGATCAAAGCACCTCAAAAATTCACTGTATGGTGTATCAGGAGGGACACTTTCTAATTGTAGGGTAATGCAGAATATTCATCACAATGACTCTTGTAAGTGGAGTGTGTAACCCAATTACATGGCCCTGGCAGTTGTGTAACAGTTGCCAGACACTTTTCCCTTCTAATCTCTTTTTTTCAAAGATCAGAAATCAGAGGTCAGTCCACTCAGTCACTTATCAGATCAAATAAAATCACATCAGACTGTGCTCCCTTTTTCGAACGAAACAGAGCAACTCTCTCCTTTTGAGTCTTCCCCAATAGTTAGAAAAATCTTAGGTTTCACAAAGACACTGTAACAATTCTTTTATTTCTTAATCTTCCCTCTCCTGATCTTTCAAAATAGGCTTGTTCTTTATGAGAAGAGGGGTGCAGACCAAGCACTTTCTTCCTCCAGAAAACCTGTATTATGGGAACAGTAAATGATGAATGTGAGCAAGCTGGCAAAAATTAGTCCGCCAGTGCTGGCACTTTGATTTATGCTCAGGGACAGCCTGGCCCCAAATCAGCCATGGAACCAGGGCTGTATGACAGCAGCATAACATGTTCTTCACACATTCTTTTCTAGCCTCGTGAGAACAACCTAGCCCGTCTGGAAGATAGGAGTCATGGCTGCAGGCACATACATATCGGTGCCCTTGATCATCACTGGGTAAATGTTGCTTACATGGCTTTTCTAACAGTAGAAGAGTGCAATTCTTCTGCTGTAGAATTTCTCAGTATTGGGTTTTGATTTCAAATTCATGTAACAATTCCAACCAATACACAAACAGGGAGAATTCTGTAGTGTAGTGTGTGTCTCCAGAATGGGGAGGTGATTGGATTCTGAATACAAATATTAACAAACAGCAGGCTCTTCTGTGCTCTTAAAGCACTGTCTTGCACTCAGGATGGTAGTATGCTAGAAAAAAATGCCAGGGATATGACTGCAATAGCATCTTTTAACGCAGCAACAGCTAACAACTGACACTAGTGCTGAGTGAGATCCTGACAGAAATTCAGGTTGGCACCAGAAACCAAAGGGCTACATTGTTTTTAAAAAATAAACCAGGCAAAAGGCACCAGAAAGGCTCATCATCAGGGCTTTTAGTGGCTAGGCTGCATGTGTACCTCCATAATTGGACAGCCTGGGTTGACAGGAACATAACCTTACTTTCACCAATTCCATCTGGGGATATGAAATATGTCTTTAGCTGAGAAACTGTTTTGTTCAGATGATCAGAGGAATTGTGAGAATGTCAGACCCATTGCTTTCTGTGTATTTATGCAGCAGCTGGCTTTCTTACATTTTGTCTGTAGATTTTGAACCTCCTCCTTGGAACACTGTGATACATGTCAAACACTATTATTCTCATTTCTCCCTTTACAGTAACATGCTACACTTCCTGTCTTGGCTTTTGCCTTCTCTTGTCATACTTGTAACTGCTCTGGCAATCTAAGAGCAGCTTAAAGCTCCAAGTTCTGTGGAGTGGGGAAATTTTTCAATACTTCCAAAGTTTTAGTCTAACTCATGGTTGGATCTGTGTCACAGAGCCTGAGAAGACAATTAATTTGGTTATATTAAGTTATAACCAACAGATACTGGAAGACAGAACTTAAGATCATTCAGTGGGTGGCTTTTCTAACTAACCCAGTGATGAATCAGTCCATGGCTTTCAGTGGTTATGTTCTGCTGGAGCTTGTGTGCCTGTCAGATCAGAGCTTAGACTGCATCACTGTCCAGCTGTTTTATAAGTGACCGTACTTTTTGGAAAGGTTACCAACTACCATAACAAGTAATTCTTGGAAATTCATTCTTATATCAGCCACAGGAACACTCTTTGTCTCTTCTTTTTCTAAATTGCCAGGTACTGCAGCTGGGCTTTACTTTAGAAGTAGGTGAAAGAGGTAGGTGAAAGTAGGTAACTATGCTCCAACTAGTCAGCTGAGGTCATTAGTCTCGAAATTAGATGATTTTTGTAAGTGACTTTAAATTCTTCAGATGAAAGGTATTATATAACATATTTAAATGCTCCTGATGATGATTATGAGTATTATTAAATTTAAAAAAAGCTGTTTCTCAGATTTTCAATTATAAATAATAGAATATAGAAATAAGCATTACTCTGACTGAGGATTTGTGAATAGAAAAGAACAGAATTTAAAATGGAATTTCAAAAGTATTATCCTGTGGCTAGTTCTGCTCCCACTGAAATCCTAATAATTAGTAAAAGTAAGTGAAGCTTATTTTGAATGTTTAGATATTCTCATCTGAAAAATCTTATTCTTAATAATTTTAATACAATTATATTTACTTATTATAACTCCTAGATGTGAAAGTGAAGTCTAATTATTTTTTTATAAATAATTTTTT